GGTATTGTGATATTTAATGGTTGTTTGGGTTTAGCATCTAAGTTCTCTATTTCAACCTATAAACGTGAATCAACCTCCTCATGCACAACGCTACAATCAACTCACGTGCAAAAAATAATTTTCGTTTCACATGAATAAGCAAAAATCTAACTTAAACACATAACTAGTCCGCAATTCATAAATCAACGCATGTTCTCAATTACGCATATCAATACCGGCAAGGTTATCTGACACACACAAGCATGCAAAAAAACACGAAATGAATTTTTTTTTTGAATAAAAACACAAACACATAAAACAAGCAAATCACACATAAGCATTCGAGAAACTCAACAATATAAGCAAATGATGTCACTCCCCCAATCTTAACTGAAACATTGTCCTCAATGTGAAATTTAAAGGAAAAGGAGGAGGAGTTCCTTGAAATGTCAGTATTGCTTATGATGTTGTGGTATCTTGGTGCTGGCTGCATTTGATTGACTCTTCTTCTACATTTTCCCCCAAACTTGAGATTTGTCCCATTTTCTCCATGTCCATGTTGGTTTGAGTGTTCCGCGACGTCATGTTCCTGAAAAATTAAATTTGAAAAATTAAACTCATGGAACAAGGATTACTTAGCTCAAACATCTAATAACCAACTTAATTACTCCAAGACCTATGGGTAGAAGGTGCATGGGTGATGATTCCTAAATAAACTATAAATTAAACTATCTTAGAACTTTGAAAACAAAATAAATAAAATAAAAGCTTGGGTTGCCTCCTAAGAAGCACTTCTTTTAAGTCATTAGCTTGACTTGTGTCGCTGATTTATCATGGTGACTCAAACCAAGTTATTCCATAATTGCACTTTGTGCAATTTTCATTGATGCAGTCCTTTTTGCTCTCCAAACTTTGATTTGTCCATTCTTATCTCTACCAAGAAGTTCTCCAAATTTTTTTTTTATTCTGACAGTTTCGTTGATCAGGTGGCTCTTCTTCATCAATTCTATAGTAATCATTTTTATTGGGAGGTTTCTCATATTGGATGTAAATATTGAATATCTCCTGCTTGTCATCCACCCTCAAGATTAGTTCTCCCTTCTCCATGTCAATAAAGGTTCGTCCCGTTGCTAAGAATGGTCGACCCAATATAATTGGAATGTCTCGATCTTCTGGTATGTCCAATACAATGAAATCCACAGGAAATATTAAATTTCCTACTTTTACTAGTACATCCTTAACTTTGCCACGTGGCCTTGTAATTGTTTTATCAGCAAGTTGTAGCATTATTGATGTTGAGTTGACTTCACCTAGTTCCAATTTCCTGTAAGCAGAATACAACATTAGATTGATACTAGCACCAGTGTCACACAATGCATTAGTTGAATAGGAATTTTCAATTGAAACTGGTAAAGTAAAACTCCCTGGATCCTTCAATTTAGGAGGCAATTTTCTCTGGACTCTTGCACTACTTTCCTCAGTTAATGCCACAGTTTCAAACTCCGGAAACTTTCTTTTCTTTGTCAACATCTCTTTCAAAAATTTCTTATAGCTTGGAATTTGTAGTATCGCATCTATGAACGGAACATTGATCTGGAGCTTCTTGAGAACATCGAGAAATTTTTCATAGTTTGTATCTTGTTTGTTCTTCTTGAGCTTTTGAGGAAAGGGAATGGGAGGCATGTAAGATTTGTCTGGACTTAGTGCTTTGGTAGCTGATGTTTCTGTACTTTCTCCATTTTCAGTTGTGTTTGGTACAGATTTTTCTACCCTTGTAGCTTCATCAATCACTTCTTGGTCATTTTTTCTTTTGGGTCTCTCTGTAGTGAGCTCTGGCGCTTGTACCTCGCTCTTTGTATTTATGACATGAATATTTTGCTCCATCGACTTTTTTTGAAGTCTTTGGGGAAACGAAAGTGGAGGTACATATGCTTTAACTTTTAAGGGAGCCCTGGGTGGATCGTTCTCCACTACTTTAATTGCCATCAACTATTCCTTAGGATTTATCATTGTATTACCTGGCAATGTCCCTTGTGGACATTCTGCAAGTTGTTGTGCTATTTGACCAATTTGTGTCTCCAGTTTCTTGATGGATGCTTGCTAATTTTGAAAGTTCGTGTCAATTTGTTGGAACACCTTGTCCGTCTTCTGCACATATTGTTGAAACATCTTCCCTAAATTTGGTCTTCTTTCTTGCTGGAAATTGTTACCATATGAGTTGAAATTACGGGAGCTATTTTGAATAAAGTTTACTTGTTCTTCTGAAGAAGTGAGTATCATGCAGCTCTCTGTAGCATGATTTCTCCCACAATTCTCACATATTGAACTGGCCATCATTGCATTTGCTCCATGTGTTTGCAATTTTACAAGTAACTCTACATGTTTTGTTAAAGCTGCTATCTATGCATTGGTAGATGTTGTGTTGTCTAATTCACACATTTCTGCTGCCTTTGGTGGTACCACTCTTTCTGATGAGAACATTGAATGTGTGGTGGCAATTAACTCAAAGAGGTCTATGGTTTGTTGCACTGATTTCCCTATGATTGATCCTCCAGCAGAGGCATCAATTTGAGATTTTGACAATGGTGTAAGTCCGGTGTAGAAGTACTACACTTGGTTTCCTTGAGTGATTCCATGGTTTGGACATTTTCTCATCAGCTCATTAAATCTATTCCATGCCTCATGATAGCTTTTTCCCTCTTTCTATTGAAAAGTTTGAATTTCCAATCTGATTTTAGCTACTCTGGCTGGTGGAAAGAATTTGTTGCAGAATTTCCTGATCAGTTCTTCCCATGTAGTAATGCTAGCATGAGGCTCCGCATCTAACCACTCCAAAGCAGCATCTCTCAATGTAAATGGAAATAGTCGTAATTTAATAGCATCTTCATTGACCCCCGGAGCATGGAAGTTCTGATAATTTCTGAGAAATCTGGAGAAATGTGTGTTCGGATTCTCATGAGGTAACCCGTAGAATTACAGAGTGTTGTTCATCAAGTTAATCCAATCCGGCCTGATCTGAAAGTTATTCACCCCAAAATCTGGATACACAATACTGGAGCGCATGGGTGCTGCTATAGGTGTCAGGAACATTGATACTGGCAAATCACCTTCATTTATTTCCCCTCGCTCATGCTGCTGTTCCGGTGGTACCACCACTCTTGCGGCCATTTGCCCAATCGGCTGAATGGGGATATGGATTTGTTGATTGTCAGCCATTTGATATTGCTGTTTTTGTTTGTGTTCCTTGCGTCTTCGTCTGAAGGTACTTTCTATCTCCGAATCAAATGGTTCAAGATCGTTGCCTTGTGCACGGAGCATACAACGAACACAATTTTATTTAAATAAAAGAAAAATAAACAAATCAAATAACAGTTAAAATAAAAAAAATAAATTAAGACTAAAAGAAATAGTCCCCGGCAATTGCGCCAAAAATTTGTTGTAAAATTTTGTTTCACAAGTGTACGACCCGTAATAAGTAATAGTGGACCTGAGAGTCCGATTTGTCGATCCCACAATGACTATTTTCTAGCACTTAATTCATTCTTTCTTTAACTACTATTTGACTAACACAAATCAAAGGTTGTAAAATCTGGATTTTAATCTAAATTCTAGAAAATAAATGAATGTTCACACGATTGGTTGGAGAATTAAATAATGAATGAATGTCAAGGTAGAATAACTTCACCAATTGATCACCTTTACATCTCAAATTAAAACTCAATTTTAATGTAATGCTCGATTAAATTCTCCTATTGTATTCGATTTACCCCTCTCGAGTTCTCATTGAGCCTATTCAACTAATTAAATTTCATATTTCTATGCAAATTCAATTTAGTTAAACGAGTTCTATATCTTAGGAATTCAATTATGACCGCGATAAATGGTATAGGTATCTCTACTCATTATACCAATGTACTTGATTTTACTACATGGTCTAAATCCTAAACTAATATCTCTATTTATAAAAAATTCACAAAAATCATCAAATTATTGATCAGATAATTTAATGCATTCAACTCATAGCAAAATCAACACATGGAAGAATTAAAAACTGAAAGTTTTAATAAGAGAATGTAAAAGATCCCAATTGGTTACATTATTCCCCCTAACAATGAATTTAGCTACTCATAATAAAGAAGAAAGGTAGGAATTTGTCTTAGAATACATCACCGAGTTTGTAATAAAGATGTAAAAGAAAAAGTAGAATTCTTACACCAAGATCTCGTTCATCTTCCAATGAATGCTTCTAATCTTCAATTGCTTGGTGTTAATCTTCTTGAATTTCTCTTTTGAATCTCCCTTCTTGTTGTCTTCTCTCCAATATGTCAAGAACCCTTCAAAAGTATGAGGAAGATATATTTATAGGTGCCCCCTCCGTTTTATGTAGAAGTAGAATTTTTATGGATCTAAAAAGGCCCAAAAAACGCGCCCTAGATCTTTGATCGCAGTGCCTAGGCGCTGATGGTAGCTCCTAGGCGCTATGGTTTTGGTGCCTAGGCGCTATGGTAGCGCTTGGGCGCTATGGATGTGGCGCCTAGGCGCTATGGTTGTAACACCTAGGCGCTACCTCTCGAGTCCAAATTTCATCTTCTTTTTTTTTTCAGTTTCGTAGCGCCTAGGCGCTATGAATGCAACGCCTAAGCGCCATCTTTCTGCCCCAATTCCGTGTTTTTGGCCTCTTCGTCCACTTTAATACTTCTTTTCACATCGATTCTCCTAATCTTCAAAACAATACTAACAAACACATAAAAAACGTTCTATACTCATAAGATCTAGCAAAAATCAAGCTAAAATTGTGCAAAAATCATGAGTGTAACAGACTCATCAGTTAACATGTATATTAGTATATATTTTGTTTCAGTCATTTTGTATGAACAAGCTTAAAAGTGGCTTTTTAGTTGATTATTTTGATGAAATATATGCCATTAAGAAAAGTAGCTAAAAGCATCAATATTAAGCATAGCTACTGGACATCTTAGTTTACAAAGTTAATTTATATTGTATACCTATGGTTTTCACATTTTGCATTTTATTTTATTTACTTCCACTATTAAAATAGGTGGCATCGGCGATGGATATATTCATCAGTAAAGGTTGAAATGACGTCGGTAAAACTATTTACCCTTGGAATTTTTCCTTCGGTACATACTGAAGGTGAAAGTCCAGTCAGTAATTTTTTGACACCAATGTAATTCGTCAGTAATCACCATTTAACAATAGACTTTTATCCATTGGAAATACTAACGAATTTCAATGGAAGTTATTAGCAACAATTTCAACGATGACTTGGTTTGATGGAAATTACTGATGGATTTGTCCATTTCTATTTTCGTTGGCAAATTCCTATATTATTTCCTTCGAATAAAATGTATTTCTTGATTTCTGATGAAAGTTTCCTACGTAAATAAATTTGATGCAAATATGTTTAGGATTTACGGAAAAAATATAAATTTTTATTGTTATATTAATTTCTTATCCTTGTGAATTAAAAGTATTAAAATGTATATTCACAAGTAATATGATCACAAGTAATTTGACTCCATTGCTTTATTTCATAGGTTCAAACTATAAAAAAGTTAAAATAGTCACTACTTACTTGCATTCAACCCAAAAACTTCTCAACATCCACTAAATTGTATGCCTTGAAACAAATAACAGAATAACAAAAATATATTTGATAGGCCTTCCTTTGATCCTCCTCATGATGAGTTCGAACTCTATACGCTTACTCTCGTCTTGGTGCCTCTTGTTTCCATTTGTTGTTCGAACTTTATACTATCCCACCTCACCTCTTCTATCTTTCTATAAATATCCTCTTTTTCCCTTGTTAGCTCATCAATCTTCTTGCAAGCATTGCGTGATAGAATTTAAATTCAGATATCTAGATTTGAACGGAACTAATAATCCAATTTTAATCCTTTCATAAATTTATCCACATTGAATCAAAGAGAACAAAATGAAAGCGGAAGCGTACCTTGATCCATAATTGTAATTGATTTTGAACGGGTTACAATCTTCCAATTGATTCGTGATTTTCCTTTTGAATTCTTGAAAAACTCTCTGTTGATGGGGATGTAGAGGTTATGAGAAAAAATCACGTCAATTGGGGACCATGACCCCATGATAAATAACTGCTAGGCAGTTATCATCTTTTATTTGTTTTAAATTGGCCCCTCATCAATTTAAAACAACTACCCGGCCTCTACACTTTAATCCCATAATAATTGATACCCATTAGTCCAAAATTAAATTCATTGGATCACTTTAATGGACAAAAACTATAAGATAGCAACGCACACTTTAATCATATACATGTGTGGCCCCAATTGATAAAATTTTTCCAACAATCTCCCATTGGGCCATACATGTAATCTTTTAAATATGCACAACCTTATGAGCTCAAAATTTGCTATCATAATTAAGGGTATTTCCAAACAATCTCCTCCATTAGTCATATTGATGTAGGATCAAAGCGATTTTCGTCACACTTAACGTGACTAAATCCATCAATGGTCACGTACACCCATACAAACAAATGACATAGATCAATCATGGGAGCGTAGCATGAAAATTACATGTTATGTGATCCAAACATGTCTATTTTCAACTGGTCCAACCTTATATCTTAAGTGAGATCAATACTGAATATAATAACAGAGTGAAATGAACTGAATACTTTATCTCTGTACAGAAAAATATCCAACTACACAAATGTGTCCAATTAAACATGAGGCAATAAGAATACAAACTCCCACTAAAACACGATATCCTCAATAAATCTGACACCCATACGAGCAGTGTGCTCATGAAAGACCTTGGGTGGCAATCCCTTAGTAAGCGAATTCGCAATCATGGAGTTCGTCCCAATGTGCTCTATGGAAATCTGTCCACTCTGTACTCTTTCCTTCATGACCAGGAATTTAATGTCAATGTGTTTTGACTTAGATGTACTCCTGTTGTTGTTGGAATACAAAACTGTCGAGTTA